TCACACCTTCTCTGGCCCTCCCAGGAGGAAGGAGCTCCCCGCACATCCCTTTGTAACTACAGTCAACACTTCTAGGTGTTCATCTCTTTAGCTATAGCCTTATAGCTTATCTACTTTGGCACACCCAGAGTTTATCAAAGTAACTGGCACATAATAGACACTCAGTAAATGTTAAGTGAGTAAACTTCTGAACAGCTGCCTGACCATTGATGACCCTATTTAAAAAAGAAAAGTCAGATGAGTAGAAAGAAAATACAGAATGAGAAGGCTTTATTAAATGAGAAATAGGAAACCAAAGATCTAGGCATCTTTGCCTACGGATCCCCCTCTACTCCCTGGCCTACTTTTGATGTATAGTTTGGAAAAGTCACTTAAGTTCTCTGTACTTCACAGTAGGGTTTTAGTGAAGACCAGAGACCCCAAACTCAAAGGAGCCTAAGCAGGAACAGAGCCTGATGGATTCATGTAGCTGGGACAGCAGATTGAACCAGATAAACAATTGTAGGAATGCGGAAATGTAGGAGCAGACCCAGGGATTTTCACTCCTTCTTCTCCCCTCTGCTTCTCTGTAAGTGTTGGCCTAACTCTGGTCATTGAAACGTCCTATCCACACAGTAAGAAGTGAACCCAGCAGCAACCACCAGGAGAATCCAGAAAAAGGCAAAGCAGCACTCTCCCTTGGCCAACAGGGAATCTCAGTGGAGGACTCCACTGCTTGGGTTCTGTGCCACACTTGAGAATGACCACTGTTGGCAGAAAGGCAAGAATTCTATGATTGGCCAATCTGGCATCTTGAGCCCATGGGGAACCCGGAGCAGGGAACAGGCAAAGGAGTGACAGGACAGGGTTTACTGCCATAATAAGGAGGCAGGTGGTGGGAAAGCATGCTGAATAGACAGAAACAATAATTCCAGTCTGTGACCCTAATAACCATACATTTGGGGATACATCAGTAACCAAGACAGACCGCCAAAATACTATGCCTTCATGAAACTTGTATTTTAGTTGGAAGAAAGAGACAATAAACATAAGAAATCATACCTCCATTTATATCCATAATACTACTTTAGATAATGTGAAAAAAGCAGCAATCATCTTCAGAGTGTTATATAAGCATAAAGTTTACTGTATTGACTGCCTCATAGTTGGGCAAAACAAACACATGGTGGCTTAATTACCATTGTGACAATAAATGCCAAGAAATAAGTGAACCTGTTCTCTTGCCCTCAATTAAAAAAAAAAAAGAGAGCGCCCTTTTGTCATCATATAATAAGAAAAACTCTTGGTTGGGACCCAAGGTACAAGTTATGACTCAAACCCAGAGCACTGTGAGGCTCCCCCTCATCACCAGAGGAAGCAAGTGCAGTCATCATATTTTCCCTGACTGGAAGATTCCCTAACAAAACAGCCATTGGGAGGGGCCCTTAACGATTCCACCCCCTCCTACAGAGGAAAGAGCAAGGACAACAGCACTTGGGGGACAGCTGAGGAAACAGAAACACTCACAAAAAAAGGCTCTTCTCAGAAATACAAGAGGACAGCACCCCCCTGACAGATATAATTAAGAAGGCTCAGGTGTATAGTGTTTGTTTCCTTCCGGCTTAGAGAGACGTGAGCATGTGTAGGAGAGGACTGTGGGGGGAGGCTGAGGAACATCACCCCCTCCTTGAACCACAGATGGCCTCCACACATTGGTGGGCAGCGCCTCCCTCAAGGGAAGAGGGAGTTGTCATAATAAACACCTGCGCTTGCAGGGTTTTGTCACCTCAGCGGTGGTAGATAGTGCTTAAAATTCACATTTCCAATATTTGACGTATGATTAGTATGCTGAGGTTACACGGTTAGATTAAGAGTTCTTCCTAATTCTTTCCTAGAGAAATACATCAAACAGTCCTAGCTTTCAAATATGTATTGGTAATTTACTGTAGACCACATAGTATCTGTAGGTACTGGAGGTACTTTCGTAACTAAAACAGACCAAAAAAAAAAAAAAAAAAAAACAGAACTATGTCCTCAGGGAACATATATTTTAGTTGGAGGAAGTAAACATAACAAATAAATTAAACATATAGTATCAAGATAGTGAAACATGCTAAAGAAAAAAGTAAAGCGTGGACAGGGGGATGTGTGGGGCTTATACTATATAGAGGATCAGCCCCTATATTCTCTGCACTGTAGATTCTTGGCAATAATCCTCTTGCTGCTGGTAAAGACCACTCCAGACCAGTGCAGAAAAGAAGAGAGATAAGGGGAGGAAAAGAGAGAACCTAGCTAAATATAAGCCGTGGCCTTCCCAACTTTCCACTTCAGTTTAGATTCCTGTGCCCAACCTGGGCAATGATATTAATTAAACCCACCACCCATCTAGTTCATAAACTTTTGTGTTGATAGTATCATGTGACCTATAAGCCTATAATCTTCATTTTGAATATTGAAGTTTACCTCTGAGTCTTCATACTTCTTTCATCACATATTGATTAAGTACCTACTATGTACCAAACCTTGTTCTAGGCACTGGAGGTTACAGCAGTGAGCAAGACACACACAGTCACCACCCTAAAGAACTAACATTTTAATTGAGGAGATGAAAAATTCAAAAATTGATTAAATAGGCAAGATACTTACAAGAAGGAGACAGATACCAGTGAACAGTCCAGGCAGGAGATGATCAAGTCCTGAGCTTAGATGGCTCTCAAATAAGCTGAACTGAATTCCTGACTATCTCTGGTCACGTATAAAGCCCCTACTATATAGATGTCGTGATAATAAATTGGTGTAAAAATCCAACTGTGGCTATTGAGTCTTTCTAAAATGTGGAAGAGCAGCTTCTTTTCTCTTATTGTTAATGCACTGTGCAGACAAATAGATACACATCCTTCCATCTCCTAATGTTTCTATTTTGTTAACTGCAGAAGTGTTATTCTAAGTTGTATAAAAAAGCATGTGCTTTGGTCTCCAGAATCTTTAGCAACTTATTATAGCACTACTGTTTTGTTTTGTTTTAAAGTGGTAGTAAGAACCATAACAGTAGTAAAAAAAAAATAATGTCATAACAATAGTAACATGTCCTTTTTCAAATTAGAAACGTGAAGTTACAGATCTCCTGGGACTGCTGCTGAGCAGGATGTTTCAGAGAGGGACTCAAAAACACACGCTTGGAAAAGAATCAACCCACACCTTTTATATTCAAAACTACAGGGTGCTGGGTAAACAGATACATCACACCCCAACAATCTGGGGAGAGAAGCCTAACGGATGAAACAGAGGAAGTTGAGACTGTGTGTTCGTTGTAAGCTCCAAATACTTTTTCATATAAGTTTTCCACCTCAGCCTGGCTGATTTGCCCAAACCCTCTACTCCAACCTGAGTAGCTCTGTTGAGTTGGTGGAAACTGTAAAGAAGCCTAAGGGAAGCAGTTTCTGAGTATATGCATATGAGTCCCTCCTGCTGGGGTGGCAAGGAGACCAGCTTGACAACACCTTGACACTGTATACCAGGGACCCAGACTTTGTGGATGCAACAAACTTTCTGTGTGCACCTCAATATGATGAGATGGAATGTTCATTACGTAGGACATGAACTTGTAAACACCTCTGTGAAAGAGGTGCTGCATTGCATGCATCTCAACTGCTGGAAGAGCCTGTCACCCAAAAAGACCAGATTTCCTCATAAGTTTACAGCCTCTGCTTGCAGCAGCCAAACAATCCAAAAATCATGCTACTTGGCATGGTTTCCCATTTAGATCAATGGCAATGAAACTCACTTTGATTACTGATGGAAGCGCTCTTACAAAGTGCACTTTAAATAGGGATGCCTTAAAGAAACACCTATCTTACTGCTTTCCTTTAGAAACTCTGAATATCCTGGTTGGAATATAGTCTCCCCCAAGATGAAGATAACTCAGATCAGTGCCTTTCTGACTTGTTTTGGGGTATGTGTGTGTGTGTGTGTGTACGTGCACAGGCATACATGTGTGCTTTCAAAAACATAACTGCAACAAAACAAACTACACAGGAGCTGGTTTTCCTATCACCGCCCTTGGTAGGAACAGAGTATCTGGAAAATATACTTGGAGAAAACCTGTTTTTTTTAACCTGCACTAGATATTTGATGGCAAATATCTGGTGGTTATGGAAGGTATCTTTGGAACCTACCTGGTCAACTGAGAAGCAAGCCGTAACCATACAGCTGTCACTACAGCTTCCTGACTGGGATAACCAGCAGTTCATTGTTTAAGAAATCTTTTCACAGGAAAAAACATGTACTTTCAGGTCACTTCTCCTCAGCACCCAAGAACAGGCAGAACCCAATGAAGTGAATGAAATTCAGAGATCTCTGTCCCTCAGTCCAGCTAGAATTCTGGCCACCATATTGAAAACAAATGACCTGTTTCAGTGTTCAGATCTTGCTAGGAAACTCCAATATTGTTTCTGAACCCTACTGTCTCCAAAAACAGCCCTTCCTTCCAGTAACTCTTTTCCTGCTAGAAAGAATCCTAAGAAAATATCTGAAGTTGCAGTAGGCTAGGGAGAGAAAGAGGAAGGTTTAACAGCCAGAAGGCATATTGAATTTGAACTGTTGGTAAGTTCTTGGACCACCTGCCAAGGTGTCTGCAAGCATTTTCCAGAGAATAACTCTTCCTTCGATTAAAAATCTGTGATCTGAGTCCCCAAACTTTTCTCCCCTGATCAATTAAAAAACAAAAATTCTCCATGAATATTGAGCTATATTGTAAGTGAAATCTAAGGACATCTCCCCTTCCTCAAAGCAAGCATGGCTTGGAAACAGCAAGGCATTCTACAGCACTCAGAAAGACACGTCTCATTGTTGAAAGCAAGGCAGCAGTGACTGTAATTAACTAGGAAGCGGTTGTGGAACTTCTCCCGCTGTATTTAAAGGGCCATGCAGGAGTGAGAGTGAGCAGTCGTGACCGGGGCTGTGTAGTTAAAATACTGATGAGAGAGGGGAATGAGGCAAGAGAAGTAAACAGGTTTACTTACAGCCCTCGGAGCCGAAGCCAAATTTTCTCGATCTGTTCGGGTTGCAGGTATTTCAGAGAGTTGCTCTCAAATTCTTCAATCTCCTTGGTGGGCGACTCCATAGCTGCAGGTTATCACTGGGAGTGAGGCCCGAGTGAGTTTGGGCTGTCCCCGCCCGCCTCCTGGCCCAGTCCAGCCCTCCAGCTCCAGCCCGGCGCCGCGCGTCTGCCTCACTTTCTGCGTGCGCTCCCCTTTCTGCGCCCCCCAAATCCTGGCTTAAAGCGGGCCCGGAAAGCCGGCGGCCCTGGGCCCAGATGCCCCCCGGAGGCAGCTGCAGGAACGAGCCACGTTCCCGGGCTAGTGCCAAGGGTAGGAATTGTGCTTTTGCTCTAGGAGAAAGCACCTCGGACCTACTAGTATTCTTTTTTTCTGTCCTCAAACAGAGCCGCGGGAGCGAACCGTGTGGCTGCTGAAGTACTGTAGGGGAAAGCGAGGCCCGAGAAGGGAGGAGAGGCGGCGAGGAGCAAGAAAGTGAGAAGGGGAGCGCGGGGAGAGGGATGAGCCCAGAAGGAGCCAGCGCGCGGCCGCTCGGTCTGACCCTGAGGACGCGCACCCTGGCTGCGCCAGCGCCCCCTGCCCTGGGGCGCCCCGAGGCTCCCCCTCCGGGCCCTCTCTCCCTGCCTCGCTGCCTTCGCGCCCCTTCTCTGTTTTCTGTCACTTACCAGCAGCTCTGCTGACAAGCGAGAAAACTGACAACTGCGAAGAGCCGTCCGCGAGCGCGCAGGGGCCGGCGTCAGGTCTGGCACCCGCGGGCGCGGAGGGAGGGGCGCGCGGAGCACTGCCGTCTGCGGGGCACAAGCTCGCGGGGCCCCAGCCCCGCACCCGGAGACCCGCGCGCGCCAGGGCGGCCCGCCGCGGCGCAGGGCCCCCAGCCCCGCGTGCCGATGGCTCCCGAAGCCCGCACAAAATGAATAGCACGGCACCACACTCGGAAATCCCAGGGAACCGAGGTCTGTGTCCTCTCCGGCGGCTGGTGGGGCAGACAGCCAAGGTGAGGTTCCGCGGAGTTCGTGCTTGGAGATTTCATTCACAGCGCTCACTTCCACGCCCGCCAGAGAGCCGGTTCCATTTTGAAATATTAAAGCGATTGACAGGAACTAAAGTAACCACACATCACACTTAGAAACTCTCGATACAGTCTTCCTAATGGGAGTCTCCATCTCTCTCTCCCCTCCCCGCCGCCAAAAAAAAAAAAAAAAAATTGTGTGAGAAAAGGAAAATATAAACAAAAGTAAGGCGGTAGGAGTTTCCACTGACAGACTCTCAAAGGGTCCCTGCAGGGCTGTGCTGGGCAGATGTTGACAGTGGAGAGGAGTTTCAGCTCCAGGAGGCTACAACTCAGTATCTGAGTCCCCGGAGGTCATTCACAATGTCAATAAAGTGAACTGCTCAAACAGAATGGGATCAGGTATACAGTAAGGAGAGGAGGGAAAGAAGTGAAAGTCGCTTAATCGTGTCCGCCTCTTTTCGACCCTATGGACTATACAATCCATGGAATTCTCCAGGTCAGAATACTGGAGAGGGTATCCTCTCCCTTCTCCAGGGGATCGTCCCAACCCAGTGGTCGAACCCAGGTGTCCTGCATTGCAGAGGGATTCTTTACCAGCTGAGCCACAAGGGGAGGCGGGAGGTGGCATTCAAAAAGAGACCAAAGACAGAAAAAGGAAAACTTCTGACAATTTGATTTCAGCCCTGATGTCACAGACTGGTGGTCAAACTCCCTTCTAAATACAGCCATCACCACTTCCCAGGGGCCATGTCAAACCTGGGACTCAGGGCTCCTGAGATTCAAGACACAGCTTCCCCCATAACGGTGTTTTCCTCCACTGGAAGTTAATGATTCTTCCAGTTACACTCCCAGTATTCTTTTTCTGTCCATCAGATATTTGCCTGCTTCTCAAAATTAAGATAAATGTAAAGGTGAGAACTAGCTTTTCTCCACTGCTCAAGTAAAATTCCATTCAAGTGGCCTCGATAAAGAAAATTTTAAGAGTGTTTAAATCCTAAATGCTCATCCATTGGGAAGTGGGCATTTATTTTCCAGAAATTAGAGTTAAAAGTGATGAGGATGGCATGGCTGACCCCATTCATTCCAGTGGAAAAGGTATCTGCTTCAAGGTGAGATGACAGAACTTTTTGACTGAAAAGGAATCACACACTCACCTACAACAATCTTAAGTCACCTCATTAAACTTGGTCCTTAAAGAGTTTCTGGAAGCACTTACAGTTCACTGAGTTGAAGGCAAAGGCAGGGTTAAGCAGTCAACATATTAACATAAAATTCATTTACCTAGATGACACCAATTTACTCACCCAATGTCACCAAGCTCAGAACAGTGACCTGGTGGAATCGGACATTAAGAGGTTATTTTAATGACTTGTTTGGGGGATGCAAGAGAGGTATGATACCCAAATGGAGTTCCCATCAGACTGTATACCTTGGGCAACCTGCTATCATAATATGGAAGCACAGTAATAATAATAATAGTGAGTACATATTGAAACTTTTTACAGTCCCAACCCTGTTCTAAGGGCTCTACACTCACATAATACCAACAACAATATTATAAAGAAAATGCTATTATTATCTCCATTTTATAGTAGAAAACCAAAGCACAAGGAGGTTATCTAAACCTACCAGAAAGAGAACTGAACTGGAAAAGGCCAGAATTTGAGTTATGACTCATTACTTTATCCAATACAAAACTGTCCCCTTCACAGGATCCCATTTTCCACATCTTTAAAGAATTTATGCAAAAAGTTTTTTATGTCTGTTTCACCTTTACGATTCTATGAGGTCATCTGGAGAGAACTGGGGAGAAGAAATGCTGAAAAGAAAGATGCGTATTGCTGAATACATACTTTAACTACATCATGGTTTCTCTAAGGACTAGCCTAGAATGAAAGGATAGAAGGGAATTTAAAAGGATGATCCTCAACTTCCTGCCCTCCACCATACCTATGGCTTTATCTTTGTGTTACTGGGATGTTAATCAAGTCAGAGAAAAGTGAATTTTGGAAGAAAAAGGAAAGAAATCACCTTCACTTTTAAGTAAGCTAATCAGAGAAGGAGGACCAAAAATAGTCTTTATAAGTTTGTGAAGCATGATTTTGTTTCATTTTAGAAAAGCTTTAAAAAAGTAAACATGTATGAGAAAGTTAACTTTTCTTTATTTTAGAGCCAGAGTAGTTTTTGGAGCTGGAGGAACCTTAAAGATAATCTTAATTTAGACATCTTCAAATTCTTTAAGCAATAAAATATTTTATTTCAAATTAGTATCTTATAAGGGATTTTAATACATACCTCAGATTTAAAAAGTAAAGAAAGAGCTGCTCTTGTTGAATGGGGAAGTAGAGTCATTCGTTCTCAGGGTCAAAGCCCACCTCTGCCTTTTCCATATTCCATCTCTGAGTAACCAATGCTCCCACTTCACAGATGAGAAAACTGAGGTCAAAGTACCATAAAACACCTCAGGATTCCTTGCTTCTCATTGAAGGTTTTCTAAACCACATCGGAAAGAGTTTGTCCTCTCTCTGCCAGCAACATATTACTACTTTTGGATACACTATGTTATTATGTCACTCAGATTCTGTTGTCTCTTTATCTACCACAGACAGGGTATGCTTACATGCTGTACCAACACAACATTACAAGCTACAATTTCCACTGGCAACCTTGCTTTGGAGGTCAGTTTCCATGGCAACTTCCTATCCCAGCTTTTTGAGTAAGACCTTTTAGGAAATCTTCTATGGTAAAACATAATTAAACATAGATGTGCACATATACATAGATATACATAACGTAGACATACATACATATAATAGCCACATTAATAATCCACCAAATCAACCTACCTAAGGAGGTAAAAGACTTGTACTCAAAAAGACACTGATGAAAGAAACTAAATATGACACAAACAGATGGAAATATATACTGTGTTCTTGGTTTGGAAGAATCAGTTATTAAAATGACTATACTACCCAAGGTAATCTACAGACTCAATTCCATCCCTATAAACATATCAATGGTATTTTTCACAGAACTCGAACAAATAAACTTACAATCTGTATGGAAACACAAAAGTCCCGGAATAGCCAAAACAGTCCTGAGAAAGAGCAGGGCTGGAGGAGTCACGCTCCCTGACTTCACAAAATCAACAGTCATCAAAAGCCACGGTAATCCAAACAGTATGGCACTGGCACAGAAACAGACACAGAGATCAATGAACAGGATAAAAAGCCCGGAAATAAATCCATGTGTCTATGGCAACTAATACAAAGGAGGCAAGAATATACAATGGAGAAAAGACAGTCTCTTCAATAAGTAGTGCTGAGAAAACTGGGCGGTTACATGTAAAAGAATGAAATTAGAACATTCTCTAATACTATATACAAAAATAAATTCAAAATGGATTAAAGACCTAAATTAAAGACTGGATACTATAAAACTCCTAGAGCAAAACATAGGCAGAACACCCTTTGACATAAATCACAGAATTTTTTTTTTGATCTGTCTCCTAAAATAAAGGAAACAAAACCAAAAATAAACAAATAGGATCTAAGCAAACTTGAAAGCTTTTGCACAGCAAAGGAAATCATTGACAAAATGAAAATACAACCAACCTAATGGGAGAAAATACTTGCAAATGATATGACTGATAAGAGATTAATGTCCAACACATATAAACTTAAGATCAAAAAACAAACAACTAGATTTAAAAATGGGCAGAAAGATAAACTGATATGACACTTTTCCAAAGAGGAAAGGAAATGTCTAACAGAACATGAAAAGATGTTCAACATCTCTACTCATCAGGTAAACACAATTCAAAACCATGAGGTATCACCTCACACCTATCAACATGGCTATCATCAAGAAGAATAAAAATAAAAAACAGTGGGGAGGACGTGAAGAAACTTTGTGCACTGTTTGGGGGATGTAACTTGATGCAGCCTCTGTAGAAAACAGTATGAAGATTTCTCAGGAAACTAAAAATAGAACTACCATCAGTTCAGTGCAGTTCAGTTCAGTTGCTCAGTCATGTCCAACTCTTTGTGACCCCATGAATCACAGCACGCCAGGCTTCCCTGTCTATCACCAACTCCTGGAGTTTACTCAAACCCATGTCCATCGAGTTGGTGATGCCATCCAGCCATCTCATCCTCAGTCGTCCCCTTCTCCTCCTGCCACCAACCCCTCCCAGCATCAGAGTCTTTTCCAATGAGTCAGCTCTTCACATGAGGTGGCCAAAGTACTGGAGTTTCAACTTCAGCATCAGTCCTTCCAATGAACACCCAGGACTGATCTCCTTTAGGATGGACTGGTTAGATCTTCTTGCAGTCCAAGGGACTCTCAGGAGTCTTCTCCAACATCACAGTTCAAAAGCATCAATTTTTCGGCACTCACCTTTTTTCACAGTCCAGCTCTCACATCCATCCAGCAATTCCACGCATGGGTATCCAAAAAAACCCAAAAACATTAATTCAAAAGATATGTGCACCCCAATGTTCATAACAGCATTGCTTACCATTATCAAGGTATGAAGCAAACCAAGTGTACATCAACAAGGGAATATCTAAAGAAGATGTGATATACATACACAATGAAATACTACTCAAATATTAAAAGGAATGAAACTTTGTCATTTGCAGTGATATGGATGGACTTGGAAGACTCTATGCTAAGTGAAGT